AACTCAAGGTCAAAAGGTAAGAAACACGTATTTTTCTCAAACCGCTGATCATTGTTTCAATGTAAAGCAATTTCTACATAAGTTTTTACACATAAAGCGCTCCATTTTTCTCAAAATTGATTCTCAGTCTTATTTGGTAAACGTAATTTTTTTTTCTTTTAATGAAACAAAACTTTCTATATTCTAGTAACTTCAGTGATTGCTTTGAGTTGAATAGTTTTCAGTTTCATTATTATCACTTTTTTCTTTTTTCAAATTTTCTACACTAACATTAAGTGATGAGGTCGGTATCTGGAACCCTGGCCTTCCTGAGACATAATCCACATCTTTTATGGGTGTGCAAGATAGTGAGCAAACTGTGTCAAAGTCTTACAGGAAAACATCAAATCACAACTTAACACACACAGACAGACAATCACTGAAAGGATTGTAAATAAACATTTTAAATATGACAACACTGATCAATCCCAGAGTTCTGAAAGAAGCGTACATCTTCATTTTGCAAGATTTTCCATGTCCATGGTTAATGGAAGATGACATTTGTCCTTTTTGAAGCAACATTCCTGTTGTAGAGTCCTGGTTCTTTGAACATCAGACAAATGAAATGCTTGTAAACGACAGGTGGTTTTAGCAAAAACCAAAGACAGAAAAAAGATAGGCACCTCTGAAATGAGTCTCGTAACAAACTCACCTTCTCACACTTCCTCCCTTTCCACTTCTCCACCGAGTTAACATCAGGATTACTAGTCCTTCTACAGCTATCTATGGCCCCGGTTTTTTTTTTTTTTTTTTTTTTAAATCCCTTTTATAGTTTTATTATTTTTTTGTTTATTTTTTCTTTACTTTTTTTGCTACATTTTCCTTTAGTTGAAACAAAATGGTGCAATACTCCATGATAATCCTTGTTCCTGGATTATTCCACAATAAAAGCCACTATAAGGTAGATAAACGTTTTACAGACAGAATGCGTAAGGGGGGGGGGGGGGGGGGAGTCCTTGAGTAAACATGTACACGTGAATTGTCGCCGTCACCCCTTCACACTTTGACCTACGATTAGCTGAGTAAGGGGTTGAAGACACTCAGTGCAACGTTAGAACAGATTTGGACAAAAAACGGAAACTATGTAGACACAAAACAGAACATACTGTGAGGAACAGAACTGCTGTGTTCCTTGTACAGTTCCTTAAGCACACATTCATCTGAGATTTTTCTTTTTTAATTTTAGATTTGTAACTTAATGCAATAGATATCAGTAATTCTCTTTAAAAAAAAAATTTAAAAAAAAAGCCCATACGTGTACCTATCAGATGAACAGAGGGGAAAAACACAAAATAAAAACAGAAACCTCTGACTTCACATTACGGTATTGGCGCTCCATGATTCAAGTATTTCGTTAAACTTTTTTCTCGTTTTGATATGTCTGTGATTTGGGTAAAATCTGCATCACACCAGGTGCTTCAGGCAGGGCTTTTTATTTGAACAGGCTAATCAACAAATAAACCCATCTGCAATACACTAGACTTGCAGTGGCTCCCAACACTGGTCCTTGAGGAACACCATCATGCATGTTTTAGTTTCCCTGCTTCAACACACCTGACACAGTCTTATGTTCTGCAGAAGCCTGTCAATTACCCATTAATTAAAATCAGGTGTGCTGGAGCAGAGAAACAACTAAAACATGCAGGATAGTGTTCCTCAAGGAATAGGGTTGGGAACCCCTGCAGAGCACTGCAATATGCCTTCCGAACCGGAACATGCATATCCAACTCCATATAAGAAAGACGCAGCTTTCAATCCATCAAGTATCAGTTTACACCTGACCCAAAGTTATTTTCTTTCTATCACTTTATTTGCAGGGGGGGGGGGGGGGGGTACATATTGCTTCTTTTTTTCTTGGTTGTGTTAAACAACCTTTCAAAATACAAAAAAAAAAAAAAAAAAAAAAAAAAAAAAAA